TGAAGATATTAGTTAAATTTTATGACATGCTTTAAGTGGATAGCCAAATGGAGTCCCTTACTAGTATAACCAATCAGCATCGCTACCCTTTTATTTTAAGAATTTAAAATAGCTTCAAATATTTGTTCAAATGAATTATGACTCCTGAAAAAATTAAAATTGGTTTTAATCCTTTTTTCAATTACTTGGCCTTAAAATTAATAGTACCATTAAGAAAGAGTTCTGTCCTTCTCCATAAATTAACGTAACAGTTAGGAAGCCGGAAATTAAAATACCGCCTTTGACTTAAGTCTTAATGGATCGAAATATGGTAAGCAAACATCTTATACACTTCCTACTTTCCTTTCTTTTAACTTCATTAGAACGCAGTACACAGACGCAGACGCACCCAAACTTGCTGTCGTCGAAACATCCCACGTTTTCAGGAAAAATGGGGATCAGAAATTATAGCGGAGCTGTAGTACAGGCTAAATCGTTTGAAGAAATACGGTGCTCAATGGTCTTGACGAGTGGAATACACGAGATTTTAACATACATTCTATTGCTGAACATTATCATATCTGTCACTGCATTCATTGGAAACACGCTGATTTTAGTTGCCCTTGGAAAAGATTCTTCCCTTCCAACACCGTCTCGACTTTTACTCCGTTGTTTAGCAATAACTGACCTATGCGTTGCTCTCATTGTGGAGCCACTCAATATCACTTATTTAACGTCCATTATCAATTACGATGTGAATCTTTGTCGATTTTCAGCTGTAGCATCGTTCATGGCAGGTTATATGTTAGGTTCAGTGTCCTTACTAACTTTAACTGGAATAAGCGTGGACAGACTTCTAGCCCTGTTCATGTGGCTGAGATACAGAGAAATAGTAACCGTAAAGAGAACGTTTGTAGTCCTTACAACCTTTTGGGTTCTGTCCTCTTTAGTCTCTGCAACGTATCTGGTAGGTCACCAAATAACATTTTGGTATGGTCGCATAGTAATAACATTATGTCTAGTAACCGCAATCCTCTCTTACACAAAGATTTTCTTCGCAATTCGTCGTCATCAGATCGATGTGAAACAACGCACCCAACAACAACAAACCAACCAAACAATACTAAACATCGCTCGATACAGAAAGGCAGTGTACACTGCATTGTGGGTGCAGGCGGTGTTGGTTGTTTGCTATCTTCCATATAGTATAGTCATAGCTTTGTTTAGTCATGAGAGCATTTCATCATCGTATTTTGTCTCTTGGACGGTAACAGTGAGTCTGGTTTATCTTAACTCGTCGTTAAACCCATTTCTTTACTGCTGGAGGATTAGTGAAATTAGACAAGTTGTCAAGGGGACGATTAGGCAAGCATTTAACTGTATATGGAATTAGAGCATTAGCAAGTCACAAAAGATAATATATACTGACAAAAGTTAAGTCAATTTCTGCTCCATTTGAGTTCGTCGTCGAAACTTAATTTAACGTAAGTCATTATCACTTAGTTTGACAATTAAGAGGAAGCGGGATTTTTTTGTAAATAAAGTAATTTTAAATATTATTAATAAATAATGTATATAAATGCTCTTCTTTGCTATATTTGGAAGAAATATAATTCGATAAAGTTTGCTTATCTGAGAAAAAGAATTGCAGAAGGTTTCCTCGGATTTTTCCTATCTACCTATTTATTGGTAAGAGGTTAATTCTTAAGAAATGTTGAAATAAAATTAAAACTCTCACTTTTGCCGGAAGTGGATAAAATAATAGAAGAAATTTATACACACCCTAATGGTGATATTCTCCTATAAAGACTTCACTCCATCTAAAATTTATCAATTCCTGCGCGTAATGCAAAACTCTCTTTCCAATCGAGTACGAAACTGCACGAGTTTGTGATTACTTACAAAGTGGAGTCACGTTACTTTACTTTGAGAAGTCCGAGAAGGTATTGTTCCATTTGCTGGATGTTGAGATATTAACTAGAGCATTCTGTATGTTTTGACAGTCAGCTAAGGTTAGCTAAGTGAGTGAGTGCCCTTTAAGATATGTGGCCAACATTTTCATTGGAAAAAAGTTACTAATTTACCAATAATTTTGGAAAGAAAAATTAAACTTTCACTTTGCCGGAGGTGAAGGCAATGATAGCTGGATAGGGAAGAGGGGATCAATATTGATACCTGATAACGTAGTATTTTCCATATTAAGAAAGCTGCCGATAAGTCGCATGTCAAACAAAGTAAACTGAGCCATTTTTTTTTTTTTTTCATTTCCGCCATTAAAGAAATGCCAAACCGTTATTAAAAAAATCCGTCATATCTTCTTAAAGGATCAACTCCTCATCAGGATCTTTCTCTCCCATTATGCAATCTTTGATGCAAATTATGAAACAGACTGCAGTAAAAATGATTATATATTTAGGATGATATGGCAGTATGAATGCATGCTGTTCATTTCGAATTTTTTCAGACGCGTCCCATTTTTTCTCACATTGTAATTACTTATCTTCACGGGCTGTTAATAGAGAATCACTATTCGAGAAATGACTGGGAAAGGATTCTGAGACAGAGACGCTAGAAAAGCAAGGAAATGATTCTGTGATTAATTTTAATCAGTATGGTAAGTAAATTAATAATTAGGAAAGTAGTAGAAATTTTCCAGCATTTATTTCAGAGCTTAAGGGCCACGCGAAAGACTTCAGCTCTTTGGTTAACTATAGATTTGAATATTAGTTTAATCGTAAAACTTATTCAGCTAATCCGACTTCGCTTGAAATATTTCGCTACCTTTTCGGCGCAATTAAAAACATCACTCCAAAAAAGATAAACATTACTTTATAAAACAAACGGAAATGGTTTAAATGGACTTTTATCAGTTTAAAACAACACGAACACATCAAAATGAAAGTTTGGCAAATTTATTTTCCCAATTTCTGTTTTTGAAACTTATGTACAGAGCTAATATTTAAATTCGTGCCCACCTGCTTCTTATTTTTCAGTTTCAGAACAATTTTCCCGTTGTCTACGCGTCTTACGCTTAATGTGTCTAGAAAGCTACACATAAGTAGATAAGTTAAAATGACGAGTGCAAACTACACCCGAACCGAAGGGCAGGCTGAAACATTCCAAAAGATGCGATGCTCGATGGATGCCACAAGCGCAGTACAAGGGCAACTATTCTATCTAATAACGATAAATACAATTGTATCCGTCGTTGCCTTTCTTGGAAATGCTCTCATCCTGTTCGCCCTCCGCAAGGATTGTTCCCTTCATCCGCCGTCTAAACTGTTGCTCCGTTGTCTAACGACGACGGATCTTTTAGTTGGTCTCATTGCAGAACCAAGCAACATTGCCTATCTGATATCTCTCCTCCTGGGTGAATGGCACCTTTGTCAATTCTCTTCAGCAATATCTTTCATCGTGGGTTATATGTTGGGAACAGTTTCCCTGTTGACAGTCACTGCAGTAAGTGTGGACAGACTTCTAGCCCTGTTGTTAGGCCTGAGATACAGACAAGTGGTAACCCTGAAGCGAACCTTTTCTCTTATACTTATCTTTTGGATCGTGTGTAGCGTCGCGGCAATATCGTACCTAGTGAGTTTCCTGATAACTTTTTGGTATGGCCTGATTATCGTGTCCTGCAGTCTGACAACCACGGTCTTCTCGTGTATAATGATTTTCTGCACAATTCGCCGCCACCAATTCGAAGTGCAAGATCGTCCATGTCAACAGCAACGGAGACAGCAAATTGCAATGGATATACCGCGATACCGTAAGGCAGTGTCCAGTGTGCTGTGGGTTCAGGTGGCATTAATTGTTTGCTATCTTCCCTTTGGTATAGTTACATCTTTGTTCAATAATCATTTGTCATCATTTAATGTTCTAATCTGGGACTTATCAGTGATTTTGGTCTATTTAAATTCGGCGTTGAACCCGTTTCTTTACTGCTGGAAAATTTCTGAAATAAAACAGGCGGTGAAAATGACAGTCAGAGATGCGCTTTGCTGTTAAAGGAATTAATCAAGGCTGGAACACTATTCCTTACTGTATCAGATCGCCTTGTGAATCCAAATTGCATAAGAAGATGAAGTAAATACATCGAGATAACCTAAAGTTAGATAAGAACCTTATTGAAGTCTCTCATGTGATTGAAAAATCTAAAGCATTATCTTAATAGCTTGTAAAACATCACTATTTAGGAATAACTTTAGTTTTATTTATCCAGTTTTCTTTCGTTTAATGCCTATGGATTTTTGATGAGTTTCCGTAATCTTTTCTCTTTGTAAATTTCTTTTTCCCTGTAAATGAATATCGCCTCTCCGCCGCCTCGATTAGCCTTTATGCCATTAGCAGTGAAAGAGTATCTATAACTTGAACTAATTATTTGCCGTACCTTAAGTGAGCTAATTAAGATCAGTATACATTATTTAAAAGAGCAGACAAACCTCGCAAAAGAAAAAACAGTCAGGAGTAGCTAGAGGATGTCACTGCAGAAATGTCTGAAGGTTAAATTGTGAAAGGAATCGCAAAAGACTTAAAAGAATTAAGATAGCATTCTGCGATATTTTATTGCAAAACAGTTTATCATTTAGAACTTTCAACTTCAACGCCGGACAGAAAAAATTTGGCACGAGGCCACGAAGTACTTGCCGTGAGCAGCGAGGTTCGTGCGTCATGACCCGCCGGCCTGAACTAACTCCATCAATAAGCATTATTCACCTGTATATTATGACCGCCGATCTCTCTCATTCTTTCTTTCGCCCTCATCTCGCAGAGTTTTTTTTTATGATTTTATTACGAATATTAATTTTGGTCGCACCGCTGGTTGACTGAGAGGCAGCGCAATCAAAGAAATGTAATCATCTTGATAGCGATTGATGGGGCCGTATTCACGCTTAAAATACTATTCAGTCGAGCTTAGACGAATCAAAATGCGGCGTATCAAAGATTTACAATTTTCAACAGATATTTGTATTAACTGGGTTACGGATGAATCTCAAAGATACTTTTTCACGTAAAACACCCTATGGCATTTCACTGGTTTCATGGTGGATTGTGCAGCACGTTTTGTTAGCACTCGTCCCCTAAAAAGCGATTTATCTCTTGGATAGAGTTGTCTGCCCCCTAAACAACAGAGCCATGATGTCTGAAATAAGAACAAAAAGTTAACGTGACAACAGTCATGAGTTTTGTCAGATAACTTTGCCTCGATTTCATTAATGGCTAAAGGATAGAGCATATTCCACCAGTCGTACCCCTTTCTCTCCCAACCTGATCTTCTCAATAGGTTCCTTTTCCTTCTGTTCATTCACTAAAATAAGTCTGAGCGTCGGCCCCTTTTTTCTGGTAACACACCGGGCTATACCGTCTAAAATCCATTACCCTAGCCTTAACCTTGAACCTAGTGGAACGAGATATCTCCTTAAACTTGGCTGATTTACACTTCATACAAAGCCCTTTTCAAAGATGCCTCGACTATTCATCCCTTCGGTAAAATTTCAAATCAGAGATAAAAACTATCCCGTTGACTGAAATAAAAGCGGCGATAAATATTTAATATAATGGAAACTGACACAGAAGAACCTGTATAACAACCTTTATTTCGCGAATTCGCTTCACGTTTATTATTCAAAAATTCTGAATTTTTTTCAAAGGCATAAGAATTGACGCCAAACAATTTCCCGAATATTTCCAATCAATCGGATAAAATCACACCACTCTTGTCTCCGTAAGGAATGCGCTTATCAATGTTTTGTCTGTCACAGTCTGCATTGATTTCTCTCCAAGCAAACGATTCTATCAGTTATTTGATTCATGTCCCAACAGCAGTTTAACTGCTTGACTTCTTAACAGCAGCTCGAACCTGTGCCTCTCACCCCATGAAAAAGGCACCCTGCAGCTTTTTGAAGTTATCAGTGTTTTGTGCGAATGATGATTACAGCATGCGTTATAAAAATTCAATATCCTGCTTTGAAGTGAAAAAAATTAGAATTTAAACTTCTCCAGGAGCCCACACTTAAATGCATCAGTCTCAGTCTTTTGTGTAGTCACTGTACCATTGCGATCCACGAAGCTTGAAAGGATTCGCAAAAATGCTCTCGTGAAAACGACAGAAGAGAAAAAAAGTGGAACGAGTTAAAAATAAATTATCAGGTGGGTAAATAACATTTCGTTCTGACCAAAAATTATCTATCTGTACTCGTTAATCACCAAAAGCTTGCTGTCACCTGCTAACACTTTGTCTCTTTTCGCGATCAGAGCATTTGCGGGTCTCCGACGTCCTTGCTTTAACTTAAAGAACAACTTTTCCTTACAGTTAAAACTTAAAATGGCTAGTCATAAAGTTTGAGTAATATTTAAAGCCATCCAAAACTTCCTTCAGCATGAAGAAGATGACAAAATATCAGCTCGTAAATTAAAAAAAAAACAAACAAAAAGACAAGGAAGGGGTGCATATATAAGCAGAGAAAATCTGAGTGGCTGAGGATAGAGATCGTCAAAGTGGTTAACAATAACGAACATCAAACATTTTGGGCAGTTTGAGCTATTTTGAATGCATACAGGTGACCTTGTTCCTAAGCTGCATAGTTAGATACCAATCTGTCTTAAGGTATTAAGCGGGGAGATCCTTCAATCTATCTGGAGGTATGTTGTTGCGTTTTGAAGCTCATATTAGATGGTGAGGCTGCAAACTAAAACTTTTCTATTTCATAAATTAATCGATATCAATCGGTATCAAGGCAGTGACATCTATAATCCTATCAAGGCGGTGACAGCTATAATCCTGTTGAAATCTTTAAATAAATGTGTTTGGTAATTGAAAGACGTATCTCCACAATAATGATATTTTTGTACGAATGTTGTGCTCTAGAGAAATATAAAACAAATATTTTACAATAAATTGACAACTCCACAAATCAAATTATCACTCTAAAAACCATTCGTTATTCTAAAAAAAATCCGATATAACAAATGGCTTTACGGCTATTACTCAAGGTGACCAAAGCAATTTTATTTCATAACTTTTGTCGTTACTCTTTTTGAAAGAGATAAAAATTCTATTCCACCGAAACCTGCTGGCAGTCCTGCGTGAAATGAATTAATTTTTATAGCGAGAAAGTTTCACAGTGGAAAACATCTGATTGGGACCATTGTTTCGCCATTGTTCTGCAGGAATTTGTTATCAATATTTGTCCTTGTCTACACATTGGGATATTTCTGGTTTGAATATTGTCATTGAAATGGGGCGAGATAGTGACAATGAGAGGTGAAAAGTTAATTTCTTGATACAGCTTGATACAGCTTCCACAAAATAGGGGTATTAAAAAAAAACCGTAAAATCGCCATTTTATACCATGATTAACCACTACATGTACAAAGACTCATTCAAAAATACTACTAACATTGATTTCGGGAGGAAAATGGATCAAATTTAACCTGAAAGATTATTATTATTTCATTTGAATGGTTCCACTTTAAGTGACCGTTAAGTACAGGTAGAGGACACCACAAAAACGCCGTTAGGACTCGGTGAAGGGCGAATACGACCGCTTAATAAAGGGAGACCGCTTTGTAAGGTGCTGCTTCATAAACGTTTGACAGTTTTCTACGATCTGTATTCAGTGGTGACCATGACATTTAGGGTAAAGGGAAAATGATAGAAAATATTCTGCCCGTTTGATTTTAATCTTTTTACATCGGAGTGGAAGTATTTGGAAAAAATAAAACGTGTATAAGCAAATCATCTTTTTTTATTTTATAACGAGGTTGTCACAAAGGTCACGCATAGTTTCCACGTTACCAGAATTGATCTGCTGTAGTCTGAGAAAATATAAATGGACATAGCAACTATTTTGCGTGCAGGTATGACATTGTGTATCGCCAACTAAAAAATTGTTATAATTCAATCTTAAGAATTTTAATAAAAAGGTGCATAATGTAAACACTCTTAAATTGAACTTGGTTTGTGCTCGTCATTGATTCGATTCCTGCTGTAATGAATTGAAAACAAAAAGATTGTCAGAATAAGAGGAAATAGAGTCAACTGGTGCGGTTGGGAGTTATAGCGCATTATGCACAAGATTAAATACCACACTATTCTATACTTCTGTACATGAAACAAAAATTTGCACATAAACGTACACGCAAACGTCTTACGCATCTCTTAAAGCGAGAGATTACGAAAAGCAGAGACGATTTGAGGCAGCTTTCGTGCGAGTACATCCCAGATTTGTTTTTGTACGTTACGTTTTCTCCCTTCCAATCATTTTTTTGAAGCCTCAATTGCAAGTTTGTTTTTATTAAGAATATCCCTAGATTTTTCAGCAACGATCATTTTCCCTTGCTAACATCGCTAAAAATTTTCGACGAATGAAATTTAGGAGAAGTAATTACTCTTCGCATAGACGATGGTGTGTACACATTTCGGACATGTTTCTCTAATTCGTTTAGCAACTCGAGAATATTTGATCAATCATTCACACACCATGATCAAGCTCAGTTTTGCATAACTTATCTCGTGTTTCTTTAAATTTGTCTCCCGCTGTTCAAAGCGCATTTCAAGTCAGGACGCCCCCTATTGGGTTTGTAAAAAACCTTCTGAAGCCCTGAACAATGCTATTTAGTTATCTGTTCTCACCTTTCAAATGAAAATTATGGCCTCAAACAGGAGTAAAGCGAAATATCATGCTCTAGGGATGAACATATATTTGTTAAATCAGCTTTTGACCAATATTGCAGTTGAAAAAGCTGCATTGAGTTTAAATAATGAATGTAAAAAATAATTATTTCCTGAATGTTTCTTTAAGGATGCTGGAAAAATAGCATGTGTGCATAGCTCTCCCACGAAATTGATGATATCGTATCAGTGAGTCCTTTTCTCATTTGTAATTAACTCTTAGTTCTTAAGTAAACGACTTCCGAGTGTTTACAGTACTGCTAATAGGAAGCGGATGATTAATATGAAAAAGGTATCATATCTACCTGCCAAAATATTTTTTGACAATTATTCCCGAATCCTTAATGGTTTTTGTGTCCACGGGGAGTCTGTTTTTTTTGTTTTTTTTTTTAAGGGGTAGAAATGCTTTCGTTGCGGATTAATCAAATTTCAGATTTCAGTCGGCGTATGGTTCGTAGAGATGGCTAGAACAGAATAAAAAAAGCATTAACATGTATGGCTATCAACATAGGTTTCCATTTTGCAACGGCTTAAGTCAACTGGTGGTGATAGAAAACAGTAGAAATGGCAATTTTGTCGTTTCCTTGGTTAATAATTCAAATTTTGCATCTGAAAATGTTGACGATGAACAGTTGTCACCTTCTTGTTCATAAACAGACTCAAGGAGTGATATTGGATTTGTCAACTTCGCAGCTGCACTTAGCATTACTAAAAGAAACTATTGAGAACAGCAAAACAATTGTGTTATCTATATTATTGAAATTTCTCGTTTGCGTTTTGTTTAATATCATTTCAGAATGTACGATTTGACCCTCTTTAGAAAGTATTTAAGGTGGGTTTGCACTCATCGTTCGAAATCGACCATTTCCTCTTCTCGTCGTCCTAAAATTACCAAGTCAAAGAACTCCGTAGAGTCATACAATCACAACAGGCCACAAGTGTTAATGACATAGAAGCAAGCCATTTTCGAATTTCGCGTACAATTTTTGCTCGACAAATCTAAAAAAAAAACAATTTCCAATCTTACTCAGGTTTGGGTGATTACCGATATCCTTAATTCTTTAAACTCAAAGATATTATTCGCTTTAGATTTCATTTCAAAATGTCCCTTTTTTAAGCACGAAAAAGATTCCCACAAATGCTAATCAAGGCAAGCCCTCATAGATTAGCCAGCAGCTTTCAGAGAAACACATCTTGATTGTATTTAAATATTTACGTTTGATGGATTGACGATCAGCTGCTGTAAACTTAAAAGAACGACTTAAACCTTGCGCCATCACACAGTAAATGAATTACTGAAAAACACTGTTCATTCGCAAACAAAAGCGGCATTTGGCTTCCGAGTCAAAGGTAAGAGAGCGGAAAAGCAAATTTTGCCTACTTAATGAGCCAAATACTAATTATCTGCTTTGAAAGCTAAGAACAAAACAAAGAAAACATTCTCCCAAAGGTGTCATTAGCACCTTTCCACCCAAGAAGGCTCGTTTGTTTTTCGACCCAAGCCATTCTTTTAATACTTTGACCAGGTTTGTAAAGTTGAGTTTAATAGAAAACTACTCTTCATGATGACAAACTTTAAATTGGAAAATGTCTGACTTGGCTATGGCGTGGATAACAACACTTTTGCGAGTCTCACGAAAGCAAGATTTTATGATCGATATTCGTTCGCATTTCGTGGAGTATAACATCCTTCAGTGTACGAGTTCGATTGTTTCTTCCACTTTAAATTTCGGCCAATTGTGTTAGGCATATAACAACTTGTATCTGAAAATTGTACAGCTAATTTTCATTTCGTTTAAAGATGATTTAATGCACTCACTAAGGTATCTTTTAAGTTGTTAAGTGACCGGCAGAAGTTGGCATTTGTTCAGTACGGTACCATTTTTTTAGCAGAGTACACAAAAACGTCGTTGCCACTACGATTCATCTTAACTAGTTTTATTTTTCTTTCATCACAGATATCTTTTGAGATCATTGAATAACATGAAAAATCAGCCCACACCTGCAGGTAAATTTATAAAAATTCCCGTCAGTTTTAACACGTTTGGAATAATATTGCATTGAGTGCACAAGCCACATTTTTTAAGCAATTCGCACGTATTGGTATATGAGTTTTGAACTTTATAGTGGATAAAATTTAGACTTTGTAAGACAGAGTCTGTTGATAACGAGCAATTAAAAAACCATTAAGATAAAGGAAACACTTAAAGGATTACCGCAATTTTGCGGGCAGTTGTCTGTGGCTGTAAAAGCTCGTTCGTCGCTCCTCAAAGGAGCCACCGTACCGAGAAGAAAGACAAAACCTCCTCCTGAAAATCAATCATTTGATAAAATCTTTCACGGGAGAGACTTCAAATAGAAGCGACACTGATTAAAAAATTACATCTACAAAAATCCTAACACAAGAGAAGAACAGAAATCCCATTAATAGTATCCTACAGATCCCACCAGAATAAATCACGAAAATTTCCTGAACCACTAAAGGTGGTAGCAACTAAGATACACAGTGTCTTCTTGTTTCTAATATTGAAGTCAGTTTGGTTAGTCTCACAATTCGAAAAAAAGTAATTTTGTTTGTTTATTTTTCCTCACCTTTGTGGAGTAACAATTGCGAAACTGACATAGATAATGACATGTTCTCCCTTAAGTTTGAAGAAAAACGGAAAAAAGAGCCAAAGGAAAAACGAGGAGGATTGATGGTGGCGTAAGATGAATTGCGGGCGAACTCAAACTTAAGCAAGAGACCAGAACACATATTAGAGAAACCAAAATCTCTGGATACAAAATATTCTCCTTCATGTATTTGCCAGGAATCTGGTGAAAACATAATACTCATTAATATGAATTATTTCACTTGTTGTATATCTTTGGCAAACAACTCTTATTATCGCTGCAATGTTCAAAGTTAGGCCTGATCAGCCCAAGTTAGACCTGATCAGTAAATTCGAAATGGTAAAGAAATAGGACTTAAGACAGCTAAGGTAACTTGGTAAGAAGTTATGGTGATCAGAGTGCTTCTATGCATGTACACTTCTCTATTTTGATTGATGAATGAACTGGGCCTCTATTCCTCAACTTCACCAAAAAAAAGGTCATAAAATGTTTCTGAGAAGCTCATCAAATAAATCTCAGTTTTTGTAGAATGAACAGAATAGTCCATGGCAAGTTATCCCACAACATTTCCTCAGGTTTCCCTGAGAGATCGCCGGGACCAACTTACAGTCTTGGGTGGAGAAAGGCACTAACCGACAGGCTATCGAGTCACTGACAAAGAGATCCAGATTTCTGGCTTAGTCCCCTTGGGTTTTCAAGGAAACATTTTAAAGTTACTTTTTGGTGAACTGCTGAACACTTACATCTCCTTTGTTTTTTTTTCCTTTTAAAAGGACTTTCAAGAAATTCGACAGACGATGTCACTTCTGAAGGGTATTACAAATCAGTCACCGTTGGACCATTGGTTGTTTGGAGTCTCCTCCTAAGCTTTATCGCTCTCACTATTATTTTGTCAAACACACTTGTTATTTTTTCATTCATCAAGTATGCCAAATTGCGCACGCGCACCAACTGCCTAATAATTAGCCTCGCTGTGGCGGACTTACTGGTCGGTCTCGTTTCCGTACCTGGTTGGCTAATCCTTATTCACAAAGAGGAAAATCAAAGGTCTACTTGGTATAGCGTTCTCATGGAAATATGGTATGTCTTTGAGATCCTTAGCGGAGTGGGGTCCATATTTCATCTAATGGCTCTAAGCTGGGATCGACTGTGTGCCATTGTATGGCCGCTGAAGCATCGTTCATACACTAAAACGAAATATCTGGTTATAATCTTCGTAGCTTGGTCAGTGGCAACGCTAGTGTCAGGGCTCTCTGTAACTGGAAATAGGAATTCGCCACAAGCGTACAACATGACAGTTATTTGCCTGTGTTTCTTCCTGCCTCTTGTTCTGATCTTTTTAGCCCAAGGAATAACTTTGGTCACTATCAAACGCAACATTGCTAAATTTCACCATAGCTCCAGCCTGAAGCGGGATGTCAGAGCGACTAAAACAATTCTTATCATGATAGGCTTGTTTTTGATTGCCTGGCTGCCATTCTTTTCTTTGGGTTTGGTTCGTTTCATACAAGACGACCACTCTGCATTACCCGCAAACGCAATCTTTGCAGTCAAAATGTTGCAATACAGTAATTCACTTTTTAATCCCATTCTTTACGGGCAAAAGTTTCCAGAATTCAGAAAAGCATACATAATGATTTTATGTTCTGCCAAAAGTGATGGTGACAGCGCACGGTTTGCAATTTCTTCATCAGTAAACACAAATAACTTTGGAACTTCTTCGTCCACTATTCGTGCGTTATGTCCTCCTCCACAAAGATCTCACAGATTATTACGTGCCTTGATAAGGCAGCATGACGAGAAGATAGACAAACCACAGGAAGAGGAGGAGCTGACGTTCATGGACAGTGGTCTTTGACACTTTTTAAAAGGATTTATTGCATAGTGTACGCCTTCAGTGGAAGCTAGACGGCGAGTATGTCTTCTTAAATGATGTTCATTTAACATGGTGCATTTACAAAAAACCTGTGTTCTCAATTTTGTTTGGGCTGGATCGTAAGAAAGAGAAAAAAGTAGTTTTACTAGAGTAAATAGTGTGCTTTGGCTATTCTTAATTTACTGCTACCCATAAAGCCTTGCTGTGGAAATAAAATTATGAAAGAATTTCTGAGGAAGCTATGCCTCTTCGCCATCGACGTTTTTTTGAGCCATGCCAGATGGCGCCTACGACAAATTTCATAGAGAGCTTTGTTGTGACACAGTCAGTTATTAAAAACGGATCACGTTCCAACTGTTTCGCATTCACTAGGGTTTAAGCAAACCAAACCCCCACGGCAGCTCTAATGAGGACTTCAACAGCCGTACATGTCCATCTTAAAGTTTGTACATTTCATTATCCTCCAATGCAAAACGACAACGTGAAATGACCTAAATTTTGCGTCGTCCGAACTCAATCCTTTCCACCAGTATCACGATTCAAATGAGATATGACGGTTGAAAGGTTCTGACTGCTTCAAGTCCCTTGTATTTTCACTTTTTCCTATGCCTACGTGTACCCGTACCTCCCCCCCGCCCTTTGCTAACTCACGATGAAAACACCATTTCTGATGAAGAATTCGCTTTTCTTTACGATTGTTTTCTGTCGAAAAATTCAGATTTTTGAGTCTTACGATCAATTCGACCCAGGTGATACGTCCTCAGCTGATTGCAAAGCGGAATTCCGAATCGAAAGGGCTGTTCTTTGCCGACTTGCCGATGTTTTACAAATTCCTCCGGTGATTAAATGCAGACAGAGGAGACTTTGTGATGGTCTCTAGGGGCTGTGTGTGCTTCTGAGGCGAACGAGCTACCCTTGTCGATGCAGTGACATGATTCCACGATTTCCAAGACCAGTGTCTGTTTTGAGTTTGATTACCAATGAAGTCTTAAATTTTATTTTTGAAAACCCATGGTCACAGATTGGAACGGAAATGTTCCAAACCCTCTGGCTCTTCAGATATATGCAGAAGCAATATCGAGAAAAGGGTCACCACTACAAAATTGCTTCGGCTTTACAAATGGATCTGTTCGGCCAACTCAAGACCTGACACTGGGCAAAGAGTCGTTTACAATGGACACACGAGAGTGCATGGCTAAAATCTCAGTCCGTTACCCAACCCGATGGATTAATTGCAAATATCTTTGGATCAGTAGCTGAGCACTTTATTTACATTGTTCTATCCAATACATAGACACACGTAATGTAAAGATTTTCCCTAACTTGGCTGGTTAAAATATGCCAAAAGATAAACAGTTTTGAGCTTGGTTTTAGTTTATCTAGACCTGAGTATTTGATGTTATATCCAAATAATATCCTCAAGTTGATAATTTTTTTTTACTTTTCGACATCTGTCTGCTCGACACGGTCTATTAAAGTTGTTAGGCGAATTTGGTCACTCCTGGGAGTCAAAAATTGGGGCTCTCTGTAGTTTTGTCAAAATATGGCAAGAGTAAGGGGTGCCTAAGAGACAATAAATTCTCTTTGTTGAATATTATTTGCTCTAGAATAAACCTCTTGTGTTACTTTTCGGAGGGATGTAAGCACGATGCTGCAATGCTAGCTGATTTTGGGCTCCTAAATGACTTAGGACGATTTGCCTTCTCCCCCACAAGAGCACCTATGCGTGTTTACGGGGATCCCGCATATCCCCTCCGGACTCTTCTACAGGGCCAATTTCGTCGGGCACATCTCACACTACTAATGAAAGCATATAATACAGCAACGAGCACAGTTCGCACTTCCAGGCCTAGTCCTAGTCTTAGTCAGAATGAACATATCAGTGGCATTGGGGATTATGTATTTTTCCAGGTGATAACCACCTTAAGTTGCACAATGATATTATAGAAGTTATAGCTTCAATTGAACATATGTTACTTAACTCAAAAGAAAATATCATGCTCAATGAAAACAACTTTACTTATCACCTTCGGTAAAACCGAAAGAAACATGGTGTTCATTTGCTGTTGCTTTCGCAGGAGTGCTTGCATAACCTGCTCCTGACTTCCCTGCTCTTTCTTTTTTTATGTCAAACGCCGCGAGCGGTTGTGCGTATATCTAGCCTGACTTGCAGCATTTGGAGATCCATCCTTTTCTGATCTCCGTTTCTTCGTCTCCCTTAAGTTTTCCATTACTTTTTTTCCTATGCCGTCAGCCGTTTCTTTATCCTCTTGTTTAGAGGAAGAATCCGCGTCCGCAAATCATCCGGAGAGATTCTACTTCCCTTTTTCTTCCTCGCTCATTTTCTTGGTAAATTTCTTCCTCAAAAGCATCCATCTCTCTCTCACTACTCTTTTGTCTCTGAGTTGAAACTTTGGAGAGTCAATTCCATTCAGTGTCTCTACTATGGCCTCCTATACCAGACCACGCTCTGGGCTTCCCTTTTTCACAACAAACACATTTCCGGCTGACATTCTCGTAATAGCAACACATCATACTCCTTCGTCCACTCCATTTGCCTGAGAGAAAAGTCGAAGTGGAAACAAATCAAAGAAAGATTGTTAAAATTTCCAAAATTGTTAGATGTAATAGACTCTTTTTTTCCTGCACATTTGATTTTGGTTTCTTACTTCAATTTTCTATCGTCCGTTGCCGCCGTTTTACGCACAACACAAAGGTACGTATGTCACGAAGCCAGGAGACGATCCTTTTTTTCTTTTTTAAACACTATATTATTTATCTTAAACTTCTGGAAACCTTACGACCCCGAACCTTATTTATAGTAGCCGATTACTTATTTATAGTAGCCGATCTGAAGCACTGTTTTTAGCAGCAAGAACATTCTAGACGCTAATGATGACATATTCTTAAAATAACTCAATAGAATGTTCCGGAATATGAAGAAGTTTTTAGCTCAGCTTATGCAATAGCGTTGTGGTAAATCAACGTACTATTAATTTCTGGAGACTTCGTTACAACGTATAAGAGGGCTTCTCTTATGGACCTTGTGAGTAGTAAACCTAGAAATAGACTATGTCGAGAACGATTTCTTTATAATTAATGATTAATGTTATAAATTGTCACACAATGTAACGAAATACTAGACTGATCGTAACGCGAATAGGAAGATTTCGTGACATGATATTTCACAACGTTGTAAACAAAGTTCAACACTGATTTGCATGCGTACAGTGAACTCAATAACGATACCGAGCTAAAGAGTAGCTCTGTGTACAATCAGAACAGCCCCACCCTGCCCATTGTCAACTTCGAAGAATTCCTGGGCGACAACGATGACATTACTGATCAAGATCTCGTCGCTTGGGTTTCTATCGGATGTATCCAATTTCCGAGCTCCGAAGATATCCCGAACGCTGCGACGCCTACGAACACGGCCAGGTTCTTTCGTCGGCCGTTCAATTACTTCGACGCCGATCCTTCCATATATTCTACCGGTGCAGTGTTTATCAAACCTTCGACAGACAAAAGTGGTTCAGGTCCTCCTGTGGTTGCGAGCCGTGTGGATCATGGTAAAGATGTCTGCGTGCCAAGAAAATATGACATTAACTTAACAGGAACTTACGATTGAAGAACGCGTTCAACTCATATTATTAGTTCACAGGAGACATTTGACGCACAGTTCCAGTCAATAGGGCAAAAAAGAAGAGATGTTGAAGCTGCTATTCTCCCTCCACCCAGCTGTATTCAGGACTAGATGATAGAAACAGAAAATTCAATATTTGATCAGTATTCAGGCATTATGAAGGTTATCAAATCGCGAAATATATGAGATGTAAAGAAGAGTAAAGGTAAAGCTCGTTAGAAAAGTCAAGGATTGCGATAAAAAGATGTAACCATTTAGAGCGACGGAAAATATCACATATAGCCAATAAGAACTCAAGGTTGAACAAGAACTCTGTCTGAAGCGCGGGAAAACGCGAGTGGCTACTTCACTATGGGTTTAAGTGTTGTTAAATAACTATGTTGACCTTAACTTGGAAATTCATCTTAACTTCAATTTTTAAATTTTTTTAAACTCTTGGTTCTGTAGATTAGTCCGCAAAAATAAGTTTCGCTGTTTGTATTAGGTAGAAATTCAGTGCTTTATTTCATGAAGGCGAAGCTTTCTTCCGCAAGCTAAGTTTTTTCCCTAAAAATAACGTTGCATAATGACTGTAAATATATAGAAATCATTTATGTACATAACTTTGTATCTTTGTGTTTTAATGTTCCAAAGCAAAAATGAGAACTGGATTGACCAAATAGTGTTCTGAACCCATACAGAACATGTCTGATAAAAACCAAAGAATCTTTCAGTCAATCTCGAAAACCACCTGATTTTAATTGGTCATCATTCAAGGAATTATCTACAAAAATGTTGTGAGTATTCAAAGTAGGAAATTGTTCACTGCAACCGGAACTTCTTAGAGTTACTTAGTCTATCGGACGTGGGTTGTAATTTAAAACTGGAAATTATTGTTCTCAACGACAATGAAGCGATCATTACGCTATAAACAGCTTTCCCAGTTTGAACTTACGAAATATGTTTATCGCGCAAATATTTGCTAGAACTTCGTGAGCAGAGAAACAAGGGTCTGATCGTTAACACTGGCTCACACATTCCACCTTGTGGCAAACACTTTTGAACACGTGCAAACACTACAGCTATCCAATTTCTATCAATGCTTTATGTCTAGTTTAAACATCTTGCACCCTGTTCTTCATGAAAGAACGAGCAGACATCTCTTTTGCGCTCTTTTCGTTGAATATTACAGTGATCAAATTCCAGAACAGTTCTATTTAAGAAATAGAGCAGCCTTGACTGTGCTCTGTTCTGTTGCAAAGCACGCAGAAAGCGGCTAGAGCATGAGAGAAGTGTAGGGAGAAACAAGAGACGTAGTCTTCTTATCCACTCGAAGGTACTACTTGCCGGCTCGCTTCTTCCGAAATTTCACTTTCAATCAACGAAAAAAGGCTAGAGAGAAGTCCCAGAAAAGGTCGGACAATTTGGCAGATAGCGTGACAGCTTTGGCTCGGCTCTATGCTCGATACTCTCATAGTGTACGCTCTTTCAACCTATTATATCCAAAATTTATTATAAAGTTCAGTTGTGTATTCTTTGCCGGCCGAACGATCCTTTACCACGGCTTCGATCGAAGCTTTATCCATTACGATCATTACTTCCATATATTTCGACAGGACTCAAACTCTCTCTGTTGAAAGAGTGTGGAGTCAAACGTCCTTACTCGTGATTTCCCCTTCAATCTTGCATGTGTAGCTGACCATGTCACTTTATTTCAAAGTTGCATGTGATCTAAGCTAGAGAATACAATGAAATTTTGGTCAAAAACTGTTCTAAAACACAGACTTTAATCTCTGCAGACGTGGCCTCACGCTTTATTCAATAAAAAAATTATTTCTCTCCCGAACATGCTTCAGACATGTGTGTGTGTCATCCTCGTGCTCTGTTAGTTTTCGTGTTCACTATGTTGCTACTTTTCTTTTCAATGGTTAACGCAGGTAAGCTCTTGCTTGCTATGTATTCGGCAACAAAAGAAATATAGTTTTAATTCATTTACGATTTAGCATTACCAAAGAAGTGCTCTTAAGCACGCTCTAAACTTGCTATACTGTAAAACTTACGTTTACGAGTTTTAACTGAAAAAAAAAAATGTGTAACGCGCTCTTTCAGCACCTCTCATTACATCCTCGTAAAGGAGGAAATGACTTCTGCGGACGTGATTGCAAACTTATCCTTTCCCAAAAAAATCTCTAAATAAACCAGGAAGTCTGTTTTTTATTATAGCTCACTATTCTTGCAGCACATTCATTATACTTAATGAAGTGAGTATAATGAGGTGAGTATAATTCATTATACTCAAAAGAGTGTTCTTAAACACCCTCTAAACTGGCTACACCATACAACCTACGTTTCAGAGTTTTAATTGAAAAAAATATTGTGTAACATGCTCTTTCAGCACCTCTCATCATATCCTCGTTAAGGAGGATATGATTTCTGCGGACGTGATTGTAAACTTATCCTTTCCCAAAAACATCTATAAATAAACCACGCAGCGTGTCTTTATTTCAGTTCACGATTCTCCAAGCACATTCATTATACTCAAAGATGTGTTCGTCTGTTGTGGTGTTGCTTTTCGCGGTGGCTTTTCCGTTAGAGATTATTAAAGCAGGAAAGGTGAGCGAGTTTCAAATCTGTCGTGTTAAAATTACTTTGACGAGCTGTCGTTTAGTAAACATCTTAAACAGAGGGGACGGTTTTTGAACGTGACTTTCACTGGCACACCCTTAGGATTAAAGAAGCCTAATAGCATCAAATAGACAGAGAATCGAAATTTCTCAGGCGCGGTGCCTACAGTAAAAAAGCACAACTCTCGAACTGTGAAACCAAAACGCCACCAAAACGCACCAATAACGCTAAACCAAGGTGTTATATATAGCAACAAGAAAAATGGCCATAAAGCAGTCAAGATCGCGATCAACACAATTGTTAGCCTGACTCTGTATCGCGAGATGAACGAGCTAATGTTCATTTATACGTTCGCTCTTACATTGAGTCTTTATTGGAAATTTCCCCTTGAGCTGATGGCCGTTCCAGTGACTTTAGCTGTGGTCCGTCAACACCCCATCTAGAAGCTCTCTACTACGGAAAATAAATGTTGTGAGGAGTCTTGATAGCTTGAGGTTCAGTTTTTTCACCAGCATTCCCCCATTGTTTCATCCCGAGGTTATTCAACACTTTGCAATATGCATTTATTATTTTGACGCTCAATGTTGGAATTTCCCCAGTTATTTTTTCTTTGTCTGGGAACCGAAGCTGACTTTCGGTTCACCAAATGTTCCTTCTTAGGTTTTCTAGTTTAACTAGGTGGTCTCAACACAAAAAAATCTTTTTTTTTTTTTATTTAGGTCCCTCTCAAAAACAAGTTTGTTTTCAAGCAAATTTTTTTACAGCATGTTTTGTAGTAATAATTCTCAAGCTCAGCAAACCTAAGCAAACAGGTCCGCACTTTGGGTGCTTTGATAAGTTAATTGTTGATCATAACTTCATTCAAAGTTCGCGCCGGGTATATCTGTAAACGGAGTGGTGGTTGATTGGAAAACACAGACGGTGTTTCTCGGAATTGGGAAAATTAAGTAAACAGCCATATACTACTGGTCAGTGGCACTTGCTGAACGTGATAAGCTCATAGCCACATTCCTAATTCTTTTATTGTATTTGTCTCAGTTTTCTCAGGGAATCCACCTGGGAAAAAATAACTTTATAGCCCGATCCTGCCTGGACTATTTAAAAAATGGAGTGTTTGAAAACGGTTTCTACTGGCTTTTCGACGATAAGTACCAACGATACGTTGCTTACTGCGACCTTGAATCGGAGCCGGGTGCAGCCTGGACCCTTGTCATGTCTTGGAATCGAGCGTCCAGAAGCCTACGCCAATTCAGAAGCAGCACTTTTGCACAAGACGCACCAATTAACCACAAGACGCCGAACTGGGACTCGTACCGACAGACGCTCTCTCGGATGAAGAGCCTCCGCAGCACATCGACACACTGGCGAGCAACCTGCAGTTTCAATCACCTTGATAACATAGATTACCGAGACTACGTAAGGGGAAGTTTCAGCAACAACGATATCATGGGTTTTCTTGGACACGGCCAATGCCTGTTGGTGGACTACGTAAATATCCGTGGACATGCAGCTGGCCCTGGTACAACAGCAAGGTTCTGGCAGGTTCATAACACCTACATGCTTCACATCGACAGCAGTCATACTGGCTGTGGGTTCGTGCCCACTGCTGGGTCTTCAGCCAGTGAGGACAACTTTGGTTTTAACCAGGCTTTCAATACCAATTTCCGTTGTAACGGAGGCGATTTTTCCACAACACAGTGGTGGTTTGGTGGATACCTGGCTGAATAACCGATCAAATGCTGTGATTGTCTAGCATTACGCAAATGGAATTTATCTAAATGGACGGAAATTTGATTGATTAAATAGGAATGCAAAATTCTTGACTTTAAAGTTGACTCACGAAACTACTCTAACAGGCATCTAAAGGTTTATGAAATAGTTTGCAATTAGTAGATACTGAAATAAAGTACCTTTTATCCGAAATAAACCGAAAATTCATGTTAAAAATGTATTTTTGTGTACCGTTTGCTAGTTTTTTACCTTAATATTTTTTGTTGTTATTGAAGCGCAAGATTGATTTGTTATACGTACAAAACGTGCATTACTGTTCATGTGCCACGCACTCAATTTAACCCAAAAAGTTTGTATCGTGCCTAACTAGCCCTTCAAAAATCTTTTCGAGCAATATTTATCAGTCGAAAGTTTGTTGGTTTGTTAAACTTTGTTTCAAAACTGACAGCTTCCACAGGATAGTTTTATTAAAGAGGAATACGTCATTTTGCTCGCAGAAAAACAACCGCACTTTCTAACTACGCGTTTGATTGAAACCAAACACAGGCCTATATACATACACCCTGCAGAAACCAGTCTTCAATCGGCTCGAGGCATTCCATCGCTGAACATCAATCGCCTCACGATTACTTTGTACACCATTAAAATGATAAATTTTTTTTTTGCTTCGACCTGTACCAGGCGACTTGCACTTAGAGAGAAGTGGTTTGAATGAGTCATAACGTGTAACTTGAATTGTCGACCTACAATCGGTGCTATGCATTCATCGACAATCAACTAATCCTCAGGGTACACCAGTGGAAATGGATCATATTGATGCAAATTTACGCTACCCACTCCCCAACAAGGCAAAATAGTCATGGCGATGACTTTTCGAACAGGAACACTTCTTCTTCCATTCGGCAATAATCCCTTAGCATTACCAATAAAAAAGGGTTTTTGTGAGATGTTTAATGTGCGACAATTTGAGCCAAAGAAAAAAGCATAAAACAAAATTTTCCGTATGAGGGACGTGCGCGTTCGCACGCACGCGGCGCGGGAAAAAAACACACGGCCAGCGAACGCCTCTGCGAGATACAAAATGCAAAAATAAAGATGACAAAATCGTATCATAAAATACTTATTGACTAAGTTATGATCGGTCGGGACGTACAGGCCTTTCTGCCCTCGGTCTCTACATCCGGGCCTCGAACAAAATATATTACTATCCTGGCCTCCCAAGCATTCACTAAGTACATAATATATTTTGTATCATTTGTCAGTTAACTAATATCTGTGGTTCATCTCATTTTACAAACTCTTATTAAAGCGACATGACGGTTCGTGTGTCGGTTTCATAGCGCCCGCAAGAAATGGGTCTCACGTTGTACCTTGAAGTCAGAACTGAGGAGACCGCCCCAGGAAAGGCTCTTCTTCAAACGAATTTTGATAAGAAACGAGTTCGCATATAACTATAAGGATTAGGAGTTCCGCAACGCGACCCCAGTGAAGTAACTGTAGTCATCTATGGTAAAAGCAGGACATATCCAAAAAGTGGCATAGGTGAGCACAGTTGTCATGTCATAAAATTAACGCTCTTCCGTCAATAATCCTACAGTAAAAAAAATCCGATAATTTGGAGTCTTAAAGAGAATTGTTCTCTCTTTCGATATTTTTCTTTCTTTTTCCGCATGCAAACGAAACATACAGATATGAAGACGTACCTGCAAATACTTGATAATTGATCAGGAACCAGTTATTTATGAACCAGTTATAATGTATCATTCCTCGAAAGGAAGTTTCGTCTTTGAAATCCATTTTTTGTCCTTGATTTTATGAAAGCAATGGAATCTGCACTGCAAGGCTAAAACTAGTCTGGCATATTTCAATTCTCAAGGATACAGGTAAGGAGTTGAATGAACGAGTTTCCATATAGATGCAATTTCACACTGAAGAAGACGATCACGGTACACAGCATTTGTAAGTTAAACACGCAAAAGGCCGGTGAATGTTGTCGTTGGTAAAACCGCCGTGGACACACAAAGAAAAAGACTATTTCCAAATTTAACCGTGTTAAATTTTCCCTGAGTAAAATATATCGACACCATTCCCGCAGAACGTTTTAATTCACAAACAAAGCTTTTGAAAGTCTTGACCATAAAAGTATGAAAAAAAAGTGTCAATATTCTTTATTCGTTTTCTGTCGTTTTACACTGTTTAGGCGAAAAGATTTCCACTATGTTCTCTGGGCTGGACTCCATCTTTTTTTTATTATTATTATTCGAAAGCGCTTTACGTTTCAGTCTTCACATTGTACCCACCTTTAGACCTGCAGTCTGTAAACCTATGACTAAATCAACTATCTCAGTACCGAGAGTACTCTTCTCTTCAAGCGGGAAAGGGAAACTCAAAGAGAAATGTAAATTTGAGATATGTAGTCCTCAATTTTTATAAGTATTTTAACTGCTGTGTAATTCTGTTTTGCAAAAACTCCCAATGTGGGAATAATTAATGTGTCACACATGGGCATATGAAACAAAAACACATGAAAATTTAATTATAACCCCCTCCTGTAATCGTTCCTCTTAGAAAGCGAGAACTTCAAGAAAATAGTTGGTCATTGCCTACTTCTACAGCTAGAATAGATTTTGAAACTTTATCCTTGAATCTTTTCAATGGAAATAGAACGCTACTCATGTTAGAAACCCTTTCCCAAATGAAACTTTGCTTGCTTGTTCTGGCTGAATGGGCATGCTCACTGGGAAAAGTAATCGACAATCACTTCTCGTTTAACTGCCACATACACTCGTAAATTCATGGTATTAAAACTACTGTACAACTCTAGTAATCCAAGAGTTTAGAACTCGCACGTCAGTATAAACGCCGTATTTATTTGGGACTGCACAATGTTTTCCCCATGATATGACGCCCACGAGGTACCACTGTCCTTCATATTCACAAGCTAGCGGTCCACCGCTATCTTTTTGACATGCATCAATCCCTCCATCCTTGTATCCGGCGCACAAAGCCGTCTTTGGAACAGTCCCATCGTAGGATTTCTTTTTGTTACATTCCGTTCGCGAAACTAAGCGTACCGGAGCTTCTTGCAAAAACTCCGACGGCGGCTTGTTCCATCCCTTTGATCCCCATCCTGTCACATAGCAGATTTTCCCGGGGGGGAATACTAAGCCATTCACGGGGAGACAGATAGGTCGCACAAAACTGTTATAGGTCACTGGGCTTGAAAGTTCAAGAAGAGCTGAAATAAAAAGGAAAGCTATGAAAAAAATTCTCGCCATTCATCCATATGAACAATAATTTTTATCTGGAAAATCTGGAAAAACATTGTTCGCGGCGTCTTAATGGGTGAACGATGCTTTTCCAATAGTAACTAGATTGGGAAACATCGCCACCGTTTGGGCGAAACCTTGCGAACCAAGACGTTGAAAAGATATGTGGACTCTGATTGGGATGACAGTTTAACACCTTGAAGCAAAGCTGCTTTGTTCAAAGGCAACGAAATGTAAAATTTTTTCCCTGGAAGAACTGTGAAAATTCCAGGAGAGGATCTGAACAAATACGAGTGGGAGTTTCTTATCTGGGAGAAATAAGGAGGAGCGACTATTCTGCCATTATCACAAAGGACCTCTACTTGGTGAATATTAACATAACGCTTCGTGACTCAGTCGGTGGTTGTGCCCAATGAGTATCAAGGAGGTACGGATTCAAATTCCGTCGACCCCGAATTCGGTTTTCAGGACTCTCTTCCTACAATTTCTTCAGTTTAGTTTAGCTATGAGAATAATTTCGTTATTTTTTTAAATCATCCAGCTTGCACTCTAATTATATTTTATAACAATCATTTCCTGATGAGGATTTTTTCCCCTATCGCAGGGTTTTGACTCACCTACATCATAATCTGGAGGCTGAATAAGCACACCTTGAACAGTTTTACCCCAGTACTTTGGGTGCACGATGATGTTCTTTACTCCTCTCACTTGTTGAAACTCTTTCGACTCTGATGAAAGAGGATTGGCACCAAGTTTAACTTTCCAGCGAGTTGGATCCTTTGTTGACCGATAATCTGTTTAAATATAGATATATTTCAGACAAAGTTATCATCCTGGTTAGGAGGCGGAAATTTAATATTCAAGGATACAATGACATGACTTTTGCTTTAAGAAATACTAGCGAGCTCTCTTCGATGGAAGAAGGAAGTTCCTTGTTTGGCGTCTGTGAAATTCCTAAATTTTTTTCTGACCTCTCATTAGCTGAGGTGTTTCGGTTAGAAACTCATTTACGACCATTTTCGTCATATATTATTAGAGTACCTTGGATTTTTCGCGTCATTCACACACCTGTGAAACAATGGCAAGCAGTTAAAACCCAGTTAGGTCTGATAATTGAGCCTGCACACACTTGGACATCATCCAGCATTAAAGCAACCTGCCAAGGCCATGCACCGTCACTGCTTACTCTCCCACCCACTATTCGCTTGTCTATCACATTGTTTCTTGTAATAGCCATTCCATAGTAATTACTGGTTGTTGAGTGAAGAATACGTTGTCCACAAGAGTCCATACCTTAAATCAAAAAGGAGAACAGAATAATGTTTCTTTGCCTCCTTGAATATTTTGGGATTATTTGTATCAGGAGGATGGTATTGTTACTAAAAGGAGTGACAGATTTCATTTCACAAAATAAATTTAAAACTTGAGAGAGCACAACTTCCTTCAGTGATATTCTCCGAATAATTTATTAAAAATGGTAAGTTTGTGTAAAATTAATTTCGAGCATACTAGACTGATGGGTACACAGTGATGACGGACGAAGTGTTGATGAAGGCGGACTTACGAGAGAAGTGAAGAAAGGAAGACAAGGTAAATCTTAAAAAGCATAAGCTAAAAGGAAACCATTTTGGAGTTTCGTTGAAATTTTTTTCCACCTTGCTTTCAAATTCAACTGGTTCTCTTCTTATCGTAAATGAGCACGAAATCTAAATCTGCCTTTTGCAGTAAAAATCTTTCTCTACTTTTTATCGGAAAAAATCATTAACTGCCCCAAACATCAGTTCAAACAATGCTAAATAAAAAACAAGTATAGAACGATTTAGAGCACCTTTTCCCCCCCCTGATTATGCAATTCTCGTACCTCACTTTATACCAACTTACCTTGGGGGAATCGTTCCTTCTGAAGGACAGTAGAACCACAACAAACGTTGATGATCATAAAAGACATACACGTAACACTTTCTCTTTTCCACAGCATCATTGGGTACACAATGACTGCGATTAAACAAAAACGGTCAAAAAGGCGTCTCTCACAAGTCATCATGTCATCTGCGTCCCGTGATTTGTAAAGTGCCTTGGATTCAATATCTAGCCTGCAACAAACTTTCTTTTTGTATTTGAATAAAGGGGGCAAGTTTCTAAAGAAACTGTGGTGCTGCGTCAGTGGGAGAGTATAACAGGGTAATTTGGTACTATCAACTGAGTCGATAATACTAAATTACCCTTTCCTTTTACATGGTTGGCGTATATGGCTACCTAGGAATTACGTGTGCACAAACACGTACCAATCCTTTGGATCTTTTCATCAAATCAACATTGATCTTTGCACGAGAAAGATTTCGCAGCGAAACATGCTGTCGTTCATAGGTCACGCGGCTATCTCTGTTTTTTTTCTCAGCGATACACTTAAAGCAGCTGCTTCTTTTTGAATTAGGAAAACAGCCCAAAGAGCGGGAATCTTTGAAATAAATTTACTTGTTAAAAGAGATCATGACAACAGAGAACCGTTGCTTGTAAATTATTGCGCTCATATTCTTCCATAAAAAAAGATCGGCGGCCTCTGTGCCTAAAACTCACCATCTCGACTCATACTATTGAAAAACGGTAAGATAATGTTAAATTGGCCTGAAATTAGCATATGTTCAAGTCATTATTTACTGTCCAATGCCTACCGAGAAGACGCTTTCTGTCGGCTTAAGCAGTAGCTGAGTAGTAAAAAATTCTGCTTTCGTATGAATCAAAGACCAAAAAAAAATGGACTCTGCGATTGAAAAATCCTACTTCTGTTTCACATCTTTCATTGATTATCTTAAAGAACTTTCTCGTTACATCCAATTACTTAGAGAATAAAGCCGATCATCTTCTTTGAAAGCTACCGACCTTCCTTGTTCAATATTTAATCAAACGCTCCACTTTCAAACGTTCGCAAACATTAGTTCAATGCTATTCTTTAGTTTATCTTTGAACAACTTCCCATTTCCGTCGTTTGGTCTTGGTATCAGCTTCTCCCCAGATAGTATAATTTTAGCAGTTGTTTAAAATCGTGAACATCAGCTGCGGAAATTACACACAGTAAACGAAGATAATTCGGCTTGTATTGGACAAATAACAGCTAAAACACTAACATGTAAATGAAGTGCAGGAACAATTCTATCGATGCTCAATAAATTTTGGTCTTTTATCACTTGCACAACAGTCTGCCAAACACGGTAATAAGTTAACTGAATATTTGACTTGTGCTCACCTATATCAAAATATTATAGCTGACTTTTGAAATCTTTTTAGGCAAAGCAGTTAAGAAATTCAGATACTTGTCTTTGAAAGATTATTTATTAACCGAATAGATTTTATTTTTAAAATTATGTCCCAATATTAATTTTACTGAATACAACAGTAACGTTTTTCCACCAATTAAACGTCTCTAACAATACGGTGAACTTTCAGAGTAAATGGATCAGTACAACCAGTTAAAATAACAACGCAAAATCTCGTCGCAATTTCCAATAGCAGCTCAATAAACTGTCAAACTTATAAATCCGTTTCTTTATCTCGCGGCTTGAATCAAAAGTAAAAAATTTTACAATGGTAAAAAAATGTTTGGCGTGCGTCTTTTATAAAAAGTCGTCGGTATAAGCGCTTCTTGTCCGCTTACACCTGTTAACAAACCACCCTTAACATAACAAAGATATCCTGCTGATTATGTTTGGCGGCGTAAAAATTCATTTTAAGGGTTCAAAATAACCATGTTGATCCTACTTATAACTACCAAGCCATCACTGACTCCCCGTGCTGCAGGATTGCACTGAAATTTTTATGCCATCAGTTGAAAGATTTGAGTGGTGTGGCCTTTCTTACGAGTCTGGTTAATGTATTGTTGTTCGTTGACTATAAAGTTACTTTTAAGCCAGGTGCACTTTGTTGACTTTTCAACCAGTCTTAGCCGTTCTTTCTAATTAACTCTCCCCGCCTAATCTCCCTTTTAACAGGATAAAGTTTTCTTCTGAAATTTAGTTCTTTGGAAGTTTCTCAACAGACATAAGACCGTGGTTCTTTGATTTTCTTTCTTTTTTTTTATTTTCGTGTATTCGTTTGGTGAATGCTGGAATAACTTTTTTTAACCTCCCATCCCAATTTTTACAATTTACCCGCTAAATTAATATCTTAAGATAGAAAATAAGAATCCACACGGTTTTTCCTGCTCTATTGACATAACTATAAAGCCAATTGGTATCCCAAGCGTCAGCCGTAGCAAACAAAATCTAACCTTTCAAGTTTTCGCGTTCAATTCCGTTTTTGTATAATAAGACCGCCCTCCTAGCTATTAGTTTCTCTAATTGTGTTTGCAATGCAATCATTCGCCTCCGTAACTGCAAATTGAAATAAAAAGTATGTTCCGTCGTGTACGCCTAGTGTTAAGTGTCACTGGATTGTTAGCATTTATATGTAGGAAGTGTGTCGTTAAAAAGTAATTGTAGTACTTCATAGTCTTTAATGAAAACGATTTTCCAACTGAGTTTCGAAAATCGAAATCCAAAGTAATCCCAGCGACCAATCGAACAAAGATTCACATTATCACGAGATAAGGAGAACTCAAAGTAAAAATAAGAAAATTGGCTGAAGCGCGGGAAAAGGCGAATGACTCAATTTCTTATAGTGTTGCATCTGATTCGTTTAGATGGCACGAGGTTTCTAAACCAATAGTAGAGCGATGCTTAGTAAAACCAAAGCAATATCGGATTACTTTCCACACTCATTTGAAAATTGCTCAAAACTAATGTATTGTAAGAAACTTGTATGCCATTAATTTTTAGTGAAATTCTCCCATTTGAGGAAAGAAATATTACATTCTATTTATAATTTTTCATCTATTTCCACGTGTTTTTACCAAGCAAATAACTTCCTCGCCAAAAACACGATCACATGGTTACCAACTGGAGAAAATGAAAGTTACTTCATGATAAAGTAAACATCCTTGAGTCATTGAAAAACTCATCTCCTTTTCGAAACAAACATAATCTGCAAATAAATTGACCAGCATAATGAGTCATGACTTTTTCCTACAGCTGTATGAGCAATATTCAAATATAAAAGAAACAATTGAAGAACAAATATTCTGATGTGACGCAGGGCACAAAATGCTTTGACTAGAAACATTAAATCTTGAAAATTCGTCATCAAAAGGTATGTTCATATCCGAAAGTTAGTTTTTCTTTTAGCTACTTTATTTGTTTTTGAGCGATGAACTACTCTGCAGGGATGAGTCTAAGCTTTCACCTAGAAGTCATAGATTACTACAGGAAAGACTTCACTTCAGCTGAGCGCCTAAGTAATCCAACTGGTGCATATGAAAGAACTAAGTCCGCGATTTAATACAATTGTTTTTATTGATGAGCTGGTCATATAGCTGAGAAACATTTCACAAAGACTAACTTATGGTTTAAAACCTGTTGAGAATCTCATAAGATGCGCTGATTAGTTGGAAAGGGAATCGTTAACACATCTAGGTGAGATCATAGGAAATTAAAGTTTGCGCTTGCTCATGTAGAAGTTGTCATCGGAAACACTCGAGCGAAAGAGGGTGACGAAAAGGAAGATGTTGAACAGAGATTAGAAGCTGTGAACTCCACATAGACTTCCTTGTTAAGTTTAATCTGATTCTATATGCAAAACACATGCAAAAACTGACCCGGAGTATCAGTTCGTGATGTTTTCCTACAAGTTATATTTAAATGAAAGTATCACAATTGAGGAAGTACTAATATACAGATTTTGAAGGTGCGCTACTAAATAATTGAGTAGAATGATTAAACCTTAAAAATCATTCCACGAAAGGAAATTTTGAATTCGAAGCTAACTTGAACTTAAGAAAGATCCTGTGATCGATGACGTTTTGTTTTACTTAACATTATCTTCACCATCATTCACATAATCAATATCATTACCATTAAAATCTTTACTTTTTCCCACCCTTGTTTTCCACTTCCTGTGTCTCTCGCCTAAAACTACCTCACACGCTCAAACATATTGATCGATATCAACGTTTGTACCGAAAGATGATTTGTAGGATTAAACTCTGATGCGAAAAAACATAAAAAACACCCGCACACAAGGGTAAACAAAGCAACAGAACAAAAACAAAAATATGCATTACAATGGATCCTCGACTAAGAGGATATTACCAGCACGACTAAAGGTGATTACCCTCATTTCACCAAGACGCTCAAAAGACGATAAACAACAGACAGGAAAAATTAAAATTTGGTAAGTTCTATTAGACTAATATGCACGGGTATCATTAAAAGAGTTCTCACACGCTCAAACATATTGATCGATATCAACGTTTGTACTGAAAGATGATTAGTAGGATTAAACTCTGATGCGAAAAAACATAAAAAAAAAACACCATAAAAAAAAAAACACCCGCACACAAGGGTAAACAAAGCAACAGAACAAAAACAAAAATATGCATTACAATGGATCCTCGACTAAGAGGATATTACCAGCACGACTAAAGGTGATTACCCTCATTTCGCCAAGACGCTCAAAAGACGATAAACAACAGACAGGAAAAATTAAAATTTGGTAAGTTCTATTAGACTGATATGCACGGGTATCATTAAAAGAGTTTCAGTTCCTAAATCTGGGAATAGGGGCACAGCCTATAACCCTTTTTGTTCAACGCGTTTTTTTTTGTCCACTCGACGTATTTAGAAGCCTGTGGTAAATAGCTGATATTGCTTAGGCCAAATAAACCCAAATGTCGTTTCCTTCCGATTGGAAAGCAAATTAGAAATTTTGATTCCTTTTTTCCTCAGTTGTCATCTATTTAAAAAAAATACTTATTTTTACTAGTACTGTCACGGTTACGTAATCATGTAACAAAATATACGATAGACAAAATCAATCGATACTAATTTGGAAGATTAACCAGCATACCTACAGGATCATTACTTTATTACTGCAGCATTGACTTCCAACACTAAAATTTGGATTCTTTAATTTCTCTACCGCTTATTCACTAGATTTCTCACTGCACTAGGGAAGGGAATGAAAAAGTTTCGCTTCCAAATTAATGTAAGGTGTAACTGTTACACAAAGAAAGGTCTCATGTTAGAAATCTACGATAATAATAATTATATAGGTTAGAGACAATCTACCGAAGAACAGCTCATCCTGGTTAAGCAAGTAACTAGGACCAACAAACGCAGATACTTTGACGTAATTCATTTTGTTTTGACCAGTTGTTATCATCAATAAAAGACATCCAGTTTCCATATTAACAGAAAGAATACTTGAAAGTTAGGGGAAAATTATCCACCCACTTAAACAACAAAACTTTCCAGTGCCATTCCATCAACAAAAACAGATTTGCAATTGAAATGTAAATTGCTTAAATTGAGTTTAATTCTCAATCACGTATTTTCACGCTGTTTCTGTTTTTCTTTATCGGTCGTGCTTCACTTTTTTTTTCATGTTTTGAACACAATGAAACCTACGGCGAGAAATCAAACAAAACTACTAAAAATAAAAGCCAGCGAAACTCGCTAGATTTTGTTAGAAATATGTTTCGCTGAGACAATTTGTATTACAGGGAAACCTTCATTAGATGAGGTAGAGATAATTGTAATCAAACCGAAATCAATCTGACGTCGCTAAAGTTCTCTCCGTCATTCACCATTCTTTATTCAAGCAATTACCACTGCAAATGGTTTCTTGGACTTTCAGACGAAAGGAAAAAACTTCATGATTGTATGACTTCTGTTCTTCGTTTGTTCGCGTGACTGATATTTTTCGTGAATCGAAAGGGAGGTTTTGTTTTAGTTGGTTAAGTAAAGAAATCACAGAACAGTTTCATCTAATGAGAGTAATTGTCCTCTTAGGCTGACAAAAGACAAACAAGATTCTGAAGAATATTGAGACGTTCGATAAACGTTGTGTTTTTTAAGTCATTAATGACTTAACACGACACGCCCAAAAAGTTTCGCGAGGAGAAGTAAAAATCAAACCCAGAAAGTTTCTCGATCTAATTAAAATGAAAATTGTTAAGATATATTACGATATGTTGACAACTTGCCTTATTTGGTTATTTGCCTCATAAAATAAGCAGTGATTTTATTGCTTACAGAACGGCCTCCAACATGGCATGTTGAGTTTTTTTGCAATACAGAACAACAAGATATAGAAATCAAACCGTTTCCAAAAACATGTTGAGGAAATCAAACATTTACAAGAGCAGCGAGAGATGTAAAAGCAACGAACGTAGACAAACAGAGACACTTCGAAATAAGCAAGAGAGGATAACCCGGCCTCTTTTAGAATCCAGAAAAATCTTCCCTCAATATATCTAGGCAGAGAGACCGCCGGTCACCTGCAAAAACACTCCTCTATCGTCTAATAAAACCCAAGATAAATTTAAAAAATTTTAGACGAGCAATGCTTCAGTATGTCACCCCGAGTACAATGATTTCTCGTTCACTTCTTTCTAGAGGAATATCATGATAAAAAATTAAATATGTTGAACTAATTCCAACATTCCTTCCGCAGGACTCCTAGGTCTGAAGTGTTTTACGTGATGGCGTTTTCAAGAACTTTTCACATTACAACTTCGATGATAGCGATTCTGTGTCAAACGATCCATGCAGCTTCACCTGAACCCTGTGGAAGCGAACAATCGATCAACGGGATGATGCTTAAAGGACATGTTTTTCAGACCATCAAGGCTTCCCACTCAGCTTTGCTCGCATTGGATTGTCTGACAGCGTGCAACAATGACATAAGATGTCAAAGCTTCAACTATGTTATCTCCCAGAGCATATGCGAACTAAACAACCGCACGAAAGAAGCCAAACCTGACAACTTTGTTCCCAACCCTGAAAGATATTATTTCAAAAGATATAAAGACAGAGGTAAAATATACTGCATGTTTAGACCCCCTAGGTCACCGTGTGTTGAATGACCATGATACTACGTCAATACTTTGCACAAATTTAAAAGCAGTCAACCGCAATTTTGATAGCTCGAAGGGAGCAACTGAAATTATAAGAAAATTACTCACTTTATTTTTTCTACACAAATACATGATAATGACCTACGCAGTTTAAATGTTGATCTACATAGATTCCTTACTAAGGCATATGAGGGAGAGAAAAATGGCATGATTGCAGCTGTTAACCCTTCAACTCCCAAGATCCCACTAGTAATTCTCCTTACTGTCTCTCATACAGTTATTTTAATTTTTTATCTTTTTTCAACAAAAGCCGTTAAGAAGAATTAGTGTTCCCTTTAAATTGGACGATTAATTTCAATTTCTGTTTAAATGACAACGAAAGATGTAGACTCACGAAGCGTTACCGTGGCCCGTGGGCAGAGAGAAAATACTGATAAAGAACCAATCAAGTGAAATTATCTCCTTTATCTAAAAGCAGTCATAACGTGGCCCGTGGGCAGAGATGGGAAAATACTGACCGGGTAAAGAACCAATCAGATTGCAAGAGAGCGTTCTTACTTTAGCAAATTCCAATTATTCCTCCAGCACAGATCAGTTTGCTCAAAGGATAGACGGTATAAGAGTGGTAAAATCTACACGTCTATGATCTATAAAATAGTCTGGCGCTTGCACGAAGGAGTATTGCTCTAATCTCTCTTACAAATCAATTTTTTTCTTCTTATCAGTCGCACTTGGTTCTATACCGGAACTACCTGCGGACTCTTGTTGGGAAATAAAGGTTACAGAAGGAGAAAAAGCCGTTAGTGGTGAATATTGGTTCAATTCTATTATACCCTCTAAGAGCATACTCGCTTACTGCGACATGGATACTCTTGGTAAGTGGAGGACGCTGTCAGATAATGAAAAAGTAAGGGTTATGGGTTACCCTAAGATAGCAATAATCGTACTAAATGGTGGGTACCAGCGTGGTAGAGGTATAGGCTTAGGCGTGGTTTATTCCTTTAGTGTAATTTAACAAGGGTTTCTGTATCCCTCCGTTAAATAACCTAAATAGTACGAAATATTTGAAGAAAAACACAATCACACGTACAAATCAACGAGCAAAAAAAGCAAGTACGATAAGGTGTACTGATCTCTCTCACCTGTGATTAAAATCTTGTCGAGATAACATGATTTTTTTGACGATAACTGAACTCAAATCAAATGGCAATTCTCGGATGACTACTACACCGTGGCGTTCTTTATTAAAGTAGATTGTACATTAGTTGAAACTTGGGTTTTATTCTCGAATAAGACGTTCACGTACCCAACTAATCCATGGAATTCGTTTGATTGTTGCAGTCTATTCACAAAACTACTATTCCAGTCTGAATCGCCACAGGTGCCGTAACGGCTACCGGCTGTGTATATTAAATATTTTGGCCATGTACTGATCTGGCCCTTGTTTCATTCCTTAGATATAGACGAGTGCAGTGCCTCCAAAAATGTCTGTGATGTAAATGCAGTTTGCACAAACACGGAAGGTTCTTACTCTTGTTCCTGTAAACCTGGATTTACTGGGAATGGAAAGCACTGCAGTGGTAAGAATTCGACTAACAAGGAGCTAGTACGTTGATATATAGTAAAATACGCTTTCATACAGACCTAATATCCTTCTACTTATTTTGTTCTATATATTTATATAAAGAACACGGCATCATTTCGAGTATTTATACAAGTGTAAAGCAAAAATGTGAAAATGTTTTATGAACGCTCGAAGGCATGCCCTTAGGTGATAAGAAAAACTCCATTCATTTCCAAACAAGTAAAAAAAACCAAGATGGCTTCCAATTTCGCATCAGATAGCTGATGATAAAATACTGATCACGTCCTAGCATAAGAAATCTTGAAGGAGGGGAAAGTAGAACTGGCAGTGGAAAACGTGAATGTTTTAGATCTGAAAGTTGCCTGGGGCAGCAAGTATAAAAACGATTCTGGTAGAACGAAGATGCATTCAAGACCTTTTTACATTCGGGAGTTCGATTGTTGTAGGATGTAAAATGTCAAGGACGTAACTATAGTCTCCCAACAAAAACATTTTAACGAAAGAGAGGTTAAAGGCGATTTCTGCATCCATTGCAAAGCTAACCAAGACACATTTGTTGACCGAACTTTATTAAAATGAGAACATCGAGGACATTTGAAGTTCTTTGCTATCGGTCTAAAACTATGAATATTTGAACATATTTTTTTTGTCCTAGAGTGAAAATGAAGCGTGAAGCTGGGAAATTAAACAAATTAGTACTGGCGCCCGTGTGAAATAGAAAGAATCACTAGTTAATAAAGATTAAACGGTCCGTGCCATTGGCAGGTTGAAATTTTATTGTATTTGAAAGGACATGAAGTTGCTCGAGTACCGACACAGGCGATTAATACCAGACGTAGGAGAGAAGCTCGCTTTTTTTATTAATTTAAATTAACGCCAAAATTACGATCGGTTTCACGTTTTCCGCCCGGGGAAAAGATTAGCCATGGACATGGTCAGCCTTAAAGTGGGGAGGGTTTTCCTGTAGTAAAACATTTTACACTTTTATAATCCAATCAAAAGGCTCTGAAAAATTTCAAACAAGATGCTATTTATAAACTGCTTGGTTCAGTCTGCTACATATAACTATCATCTAAACTACCACAGTCAAACCACTGTTCCTTTTTCTATCTCTGGTTTTAAAATTATTACTGCATCTTAACCACGAGAAGCGTTGGAGTTTCCCTAGTAAGACTTCGAACAGTTGTTAATCTTTCATAATGCTTGCCTCTCTTCCCAGCACCAGTAGTGACGGTTACCAGCTCCTGTGAAGACCTCACCCTGGAACAAACAAACATCACTGGTTTTATATTCTCCACCTTACGCGATTACTACAAGTATAAAAATAACATGGAGTGTAAATGGGGTGTATCTTCCAATACAAAATTGGAGCTAACGTTCTATACATTTAAAACAGAGGAGGACAAAGATATTTTGGAGATTTATGATGGTTCTTCTTCCAACTTTCCTCTAATTGGTTCCTATAGTGGCACCTCTCTGCCTCCACCTATTACAAGCTCATCGCACGAACTTTACATTGTATTCTCCACTGATTACTCAGATAGAGAGCCTGGGTTTCAAGCAAGTTACCGAGGTGGGTTGGACCCAAGAGTTATCAAACGCGCGAGGGAAACAACTAAACGCGCAGCAAATTGCAAAAATTATCAAAAAATGACATAAAAAAATTATAATTCCTGCAAAAATTAATTTCGATATTACCGTTGCAGCATAGATTATTTCTTTTCTCAATATATGAACGAAGTTCCTTAAAAAACATCAAGGCTAACCTCGATCTGATTTTGTGCAATTGATCTGAATGAGTACAATTGAAAACAGCGGAAAAGCCTGTCGTGAAGCTTCACCGTTTATGAGCAAAGTAAGAACTTCTGGGAAAACAGACTTCTGTTCCGGTCTGATAGTAATAATCATTCATGGGAAAGCCACATATCCCCCACAACGCCTAAATGTTCTCCCCGCGGTACTTAATTTTATTTTGGTTTAAGTTATGTCTATCCACTTTACTCCACGTTAGGTTCTTCATGTTTTATTTTGAAACAGTTTCTATGAAAAGTAGTGCTTGAAGGAGTAGTTGGAAATTCAAGACGTACCATTTCCGAATGAATCATTTTAAATTACGTGGCATGACCTTTTCCGTTCGTTTGACCTTTGAAACAGCCATTACAGAGGGTTCCGTCCGCCTCAGAAGAAGTGAGATACCATTAACTGGAACCGTGGAAATTTTTCATGATGACAAGTGGGGCACCATTTGCAGTCATGATTGGGACATTCAGGACGCGATGGTAGTCTGCAGGCAGCTGGGCTTCCCTCAAGCTACCAAAGCTTATGGAAACGCTTCTAGAGAAGAAAATGGTACCGTATGGATGACAAAAGCGGGGTGCCTAGGAAATGAATCATTTCTCTACGAATGCAACCACAGCGGCTGGGAAAACAATAATTGCAATCACGGCAAAGCCGCTGGTGTACAATGTTCTTTTGGTCCATCCCTACTTCGTTTAGTGAATGGAGGATCAAGCCACGGTCGCATAGAAGTTTATCACAATGCAACATGGGGTACAGTGTGTGATGATAATGAGCAAAAGGAGGCTGCTGACGTGGTGTGTCGCCAACTTGGCTTCAATGGTTCCTTAGGAAAGCCAGTGTGCTGCTCAGCGTACGGCGAAGGTGTTGATCCCATTTGGTTGGACGACGTTCAGTGCGAAGGCGACGAGGTCTCAGTGTTTAACTGTGAGCATGAGGAGTGGGGAGAACACAACTGTGACCACACTGAAGATCTAGGTGTGGTGTGTTATTAATAGAATCCTGGGTCATTGAGCCCCAGCACACGTGCATTAGTCACCCGAACAGTTGTGGACAAAAAAAGACTCAGCCAACTAGCAGCGCTCGTCAAAATCCACCAGAGTACTTTGTAGTGATCTCGTTGGGCTGCTTCAAACACTTGTTATTCAAACATTGTTTCATTTTTACCATTTTCGTTAAAAATTAAGAAGTATACGTGGATTTAGCTCAATTATCTCACTAGGTTATCAGTGGCATTTTGTAAAGGGAATTGACGTGGGATTCTTTTCACGAACCTCGGCAACATTACCCTGTATAATCAGATTTGGATTTTGACTGAGTTCGAGAAGAAAAAACACTTGTAAAAACAAACAAAAAATTGTCACTACCTACAACTTCACAGTTTACTAGCTCCGTTAGCGTTGTGGTTCTGATTTCTCTCCCTTTGTCCAGCGGATCCTAACACTCCTCTGTTTACTCCCAGTTTTCTTCATGGGATTTGTTTTAATACCAATGAGATAAAGCATTGTATTTGCAACCTCAAGGGTCTAAAAGTAAAGTCACACGTACGTAGGGACACTCAGTAAACCTTTGAGCCTTTAATAGTTATTGCTATTAGCAGGCTAGTTGTATTCTTTGTATCTAATGTTGGTGATTATTTCTAGATAAACTCCACAAACTTGGTAACTTGACCTCCACGTTTTCGAAGTTTTGGGAAGAAAACCCGTCACATGTCCCCGCCGGAACCCGAGACATTTTGAGGCCGAAATGTCATCTGGCGTACTTTATCTTCCCTTGGTTAAGGACTTTGAGGCGTGCGAACGAAAAACTTTAATAAGGATTGAAAGGGGGAGCTTGAATCCAAACTAAGGTATACCACGCGCAACCCTCCAACGAAATTGCGTGGCACGAGTTGTAAACACCAGTGCCGGCCGCAAAAGGAAATAACATGGGCGCACGTAAATATGGAATTTCCCTTCGAGTGTTCCACTCGATAGCTCACGAGTGAGATGTCGAGTTGAACACGAGAAGGGTAATTCCACATTTACAAGAAACCCTGAATTATATTGTTTATCACATAAATACAAAAGCCCTTTACTGAAAAGAAAAGTCGACTTTACCAATGAATAAAAAAGAAAGGAACGACAATCCCCGCATAGAAATCGTAAAGTGCATTGGTGCAGGCTCAAGATGAAAAATGAGTATTGTAGTGTTGTAGTAGCCATAATCCGTGAAAATTCCGACACACGACCTTAGATTGAAAATGATGAGGGCTATGCATTTCATTCAACAACCTGACCGAGTGGCGCGAAGGGAAAGTGACGTGTCAGCAGCTGATTGGCGATATCAAACACACTTGAGTTAATATCGGGGGGTGAGGGTGTGGGTGGACCTCAGCAAACAGGAAAGGGCAGTGTGCTTTATATTAATGTTATAGTGTAGTGTTAACACCCTCAGGTGGATTCCAAGGAAATTTCCCCCAGTTGAGGATCAGTCACTCGCATCCTTCGCTGAAATCATGTCCCAATTCCTACCCCTAATTGCCCCCGCAAGGTTCCGGCCTCCGAAGAGGCACTCTAGAGGTCCCCGTGCATAGGGAGAAACAAAAACTGTCGTATGATCTTTAGGCGAAAAAAATAGTTTCGATTTGTCCTGAATGCGGCGCTCAATACATTAATAAAATGGCCGCAAAGGATAAAAAAAAGTGAATCGCGAACTTAGCTGGGACTGAAACTTTCACGCGCTTGACGAGGTTACGTCATTCACATCAAACATCATTGTGCAGTATCATATGAGCCCAGCTCCATTATTTAGTTGAAAAACTAGGTTGTTAAGCATTAAATTTTATTGATTGAACAGGATCGAAAGCCTGAAAATAGTCGATGATAGTTCAATAATTTCAAACGTCTGTGTTAGTGGTCGACTGGCTTGTCTCATAATTTCCGTTGCGGGACATCAAAGTCTTTATTTCATGTTTCACAATAAGTAATTGATACACTCGCCATCTGATAGAGAAAGAACGTGTTTTCAGCGATTTAGATTGGAGGAAGGTGCAAGATTTAAGGGATTATCTATTCCTCTTCTTTTAAGTTTTTATGATGGTATTTGAATCGCTTCGTTTGCTTTCCTTTAATCAATTTTTTAAAACGGCCAACATTAAAATCTGATTCTGATTGGTTCAAGCGAGTTCATTATATTTCCATAAGGCACGCAGCCTACGTCACAAGAATGCATCATAGCACAACATATGCATGCAATCTACATCAAAAAAATTTGACAAAAGCACAACACGAACATTATGCTGGTCCGCCATTATGGCTGCGGGAATTCCTCATTCCGACCCTCTTTTCGACTTTCTGTACGTTCATGAAAATGAAAACAAAGGTACTAACCATAAAAATTCTCAAAGAGCAAAAAAGGAGAAAAGGATTTCCAGACCTCACTGAAGATTAAAGAAACTAACTTTGGTCGATGAGGAAGCAAAAGTGAGGTAATAATTTCTACAAGCCAGAATGATTAACAATTATTCACCGAAGTAAAGGTTTGCTATCATTGATGAAACTGCTGTAGTCACTTGTCTAGGATGGTCTACTGGCAAGTTCCTTCAGTCACAAGACTCTGGTATGTTCATTGTCAAGGTTAGAAAACTTACCTCACAGATAGACGTGCTGAATCAAAATCTTGGGAGTAACGAAGACAAGTGCACTCATTGGTTTCGACAAAGATACACCACTGTCTCCCCCACTTTTTAAATACTGGAGAGCGCATCAATGCATTCGGCTTTGTTGTGGGCAACGTGCGTGTGAACGTAATAACCATTCCATTTCGCATTGGTTTGATGTTTTGAGGTACCTGAAAAAAATTATATGCATAATTTTAAGAATAAAAAATAAAAACCATTTATGTAGACAAAAGATAATCGTGCTAAGCTAGTTGCCTTTTACAGTTTGGAAGGGATATCGTGTTGAGGGTCTCCGATAGGTTTTTCGGGATCCGGAATTAGGCTTATTTAAAGTCCCGGATCCGGGAATTTAAAGTAAGGAGGGAGCGAGATGCCGGATTGCTATTGTGAACGGGACATGGGACCCGGCGATTTTGAGGGGCGGAATTCGGGAAATAATCACTTAAACAAATCGAGAACCGAGATGTCCGTTGATGAGAATTTATGAAGAAAGTTATCTTCTCAGTCATGAAAAGCACCAGGCATACAGGCTCTCTAGCATTCAATTGGGCTGCTCAGCGACACTCTTCAGTTATTGCGCGCGAATGAAAATTATATCAGATGCGAAATGCCAATTTATCAAAAATCCTCAATGGCCCACAATGAAACGTGGTCTAAGACTGCTGCGTCAATTGAAATGCTTAGCGGCGTTGAAAAAACTCCAGCAAGTCTCACAATTATACCAATATGATGCTCTTAACCTGTTGAGTTACATGAAAATAGATGTGAAGAATATTCACTCGGTTGGGTATCACAAAGATAAACTATTCACGGTGTTAGACTACCCAATGCACACGCACACACACACACACACACACACACACACACACACACACACACACACACACACACACACATATATATATATATATGTATATATATATATATATATATATATATATATATATGTATATATATATATATATGTATATATGCTCACTAGTTTTTCTAGTTTGAGCACTCTGGCATGGCTTAGATGATCCCACATATGTGAGATCACTTGAGGTGGCTATAAAGTCTTTCCTCCATCCTAGCATCAGCACTGCACTGATGAGGCCCAGAAGGCCGAAACAGTACTGTCTGCAGTTAGATATAGCTCTTTGGTCACCCATCCTTTTTTGGGCTTTTTGTTGTATTTCGTCATGGTTTTGGAGTGCGCTAAGACATGTGTTATTCATGCGTCGGAGATGGTGGCTAGTTATGAAAAGGCTCGTGTGATTGCGCTCCTTAGGGAGTGCATTGATTTTGAAGGGCTTTCTGCTATTCAGTTTTGCCCCAGGGGCTTGATACGGGTTACCTTTAAGAATGCTTCGGATAAAGTTGAATTGGTGCGTGTTGGTTCATTAACGTTAGATGGGCATGATCTTAGCGTGACCTCTCCGGATATGCTGCATTCTTTGGTTTATGTGCATTATTTTCCCGTTGAAGGTGATGATGCTTTGATTTGTGAAGAACTGAGTAAATACGGTGAAGTTATTAGCATTAAACATCAGAGTTTTTCGGGAATCCCGGGCCTTCTTACTGGGTCGCGCGTTCTTACGATGGTGTTGTCGGATCCAGTCCCTGCCCAGTTTCACATCGATGACTACCCGGTGCGGGTTTGGTACAAAGGTATTCCCCCATTTTGTCAAATTTGTAAAATCAGTGGGCATAAGGCGGCAGATTGCCAGTTTAATGGAAAGTGTAGGAGGTGTGGCTCCCCCGATCACAAGGCGCATGCGTGCGTCCGGCCGTGGGGTCAGCCTGCTGCACCAATGGAGGTTGCTCTCCCTGAGGTGGTGCCTGACCCCTCTGAGACTGTTGTACCGGCTGTTGAGGAAGTTTTGGTTGAGGACGCGGGTGATGAGGATGCGGTTTCTGTTAGTGCCCCTACGGGGGTTCCTGTTCCAAGCCCCTCGGGGTGTGTCTTGGGGACCGTCCCCTCGGTTCCTGTTGCTGAGGAGGTGCAGGCCTCCTCGGGTCCTGTTGTCCCAGTTGTTCCGGTGACGGCCTCTGGCCCCTCTGTTGTTTCTGCAGTTTCCCCCAAGGTGGCCTCCGCCTCCTCGTGTGTTGCTTCGAGTAGATTTTTCACCCCTGATCTCCGTAGGGAGTTTTTTTCAGAGTATCGTGAGATGTTGTGTAAGTGGGCCGAGGATGCTGCCTACGCTTGTTCGAATGGGGGTTCTAAGGTGGTAAAGGTTGTACCTTGACACCCCGGACAAGGTTCGTATAACGATTGAGAGCGGGGGCACCAAAATAGTGCACGTGAATCAGGTTCGTGTTACCAGGGTTGATGCTAGTGGTGAGTCTGAGGAAGAGTTGGCTCAGTTTATCCTCAAGGTTAAGGATGATCCCTCGTATCGGATTTCCTTTAAGGGATCTATTGTTGATAAGGTTAGTCCCACTTATGATGGTAGTGTTTTGGACGTGGTATTCTCGGATCATATTAATTCAGGGTCCCGGAAGCTTCCCGCGAAGTCTTTATGGGTTAAGAAAATTGCTCTTAGTAATAATAGTTCTAGCACCAATGTTAGTAATAGTGTAAATAACGTTTTGGCTAGTGACGGTTGTTATGATATGCAAAAAACCTTCCGGACATCAACGTTTGCTTTTTCTTTCTTATGTAACTCTCAACTGTTATGTAATCACTTCGGACTACTCACGTGTCAGTTCTCGGGTTACACGACAAAAACATTTCATAATAAGAGAGTCGCTATCGCGTTGTTGTTGTTTCGTTAGCTCTAAAGGTAACCTGCCTCTCAAGTAATTAAAGTTTGTGTTCAAAGAAACTTACTGGACTCAGACTCACTATCTTGCTCTCTCGCGTCTTAAAGGACAAAACTACGGTGTTGTCATAGTTTCCCGAAGCGGTTCTCGGTCTGTGGTCCCTACGGCTGCGGTGCTTGCCGCTGAGTTGATTAAGCGTACTACCCCCCCTTCTGTTGTGGGGGTCCCGAAATGTAGAAAGAAATTATAGTAAACATTAGCGCAAATGTATATAGTACAAAAGTTATTA